ATACATATATATATATATGTATTTATCTTTTTTTAAGACTAACGGATGCCTTTTTAAATAAAGATTTGGGTTCATAAAAAAACAAAAAAAAAAAAACAAGAAAAACTCAAAGTTTTTTTAAGTTTTATTCTGCAATTTTCTTAGAACAGACTCTGTCCTTCTCTTCAGATAGATTACTTCACAGGTAACAGATGAAGTTGGTGAATGATCTAAGAGTTAGGAGATTGTCTGAGGTTGTTGTTTTTCCTCCATAGGTATGGTATTTGAATATCAATTTAACTTTTGAGACATTTGTACAAAGTTGTAAAGAAAAAAAAATCTTAAAAAAAAAAAAAAACAATTACTTCTCTTACCTGCAAAAGTCCTGCAAACTTGACTACTCCCCAGCCAAGGCGTTTTGTTTCTGGTTCAACTAGACTCATTTGGTACACATCTACAGCGAGGAACCTCTGGGCTTGGCTGCCATCTTTGCTCACCACCATACATGCTATTAAGTCACTGTTATCTGAAAAAAAGAGATTTTTGTTAGTTACAATAGGATTCTATGTTTTGAAGTTTTGTTTAAAATGTAAGTAAATTTAATTGAAATTCAACTTAGACAATTTATTCCATTGAGTTTTAAATATTTTAGCACTGAACAGAAAATTCTAATTGGTATATTAAAATTAGGTATAGGCTAGAAATACAGCAAATAACAAATCTGTAATGTATCAAGCTACAAGGTTCTGGTCACATGTTCACTGACAAACCAATTTCAGGGTCAAACTTAAATCCGTAGATTTCCATTAATTAATTTTTTTATATTTCTATGCATTCAAAAATGTAACAGGATTTGAGTGTTTATTAAAAGTGCAATTATCTGAGTGGGAACCTGTGTTTTCGCCATTTCTAGCACATCAACAAAACAGTAGGAAGGACTTGGCAGGATATTAATTAAGGAACAATATAACCACATTCCAACTAAAACATCAGCCTTTTTCAGTTCCCCTTAAAAACCAATGCGACAAAAACATTTCCAGTTAACCTAGACTGACAAGTTCATACTTAAGTGGTAATCTGAGGAAGGAGTACACACACAGCATCTCTTATTCAAACAAACTTTAAAAGAACTACTTCCGTTTAATGCTTCAGCTGAAATTCATAATTGTTCCTTTGAAAGAAAACTTCCCGGTTGGTCTTTTCATGTCAAAGCCACTCATGCTTGTCTGATCCTCTTTGCCACCTTCTCTCCCAGAAGAGACACATCGGGGAGATGTAAGATGACATGGCTAAATGACTTCATTGTTCAACCCCTGTTTAGGTCAACAATCTGGCCGATCAAAGTCCAAGTAGATCTCTCAGAACTAATTTTTGCAAAGATAGACCATTTTGCAACATTTCCCTGAGATTACAGAAAACTTTAAGATACCAGAGACTGGAGGGATAAAACATCTGAAAGGACAGTAGTTTCCCGGCTGCAGGCCTGACATGCTAAGCTGAAAACAACTCAGCTGTTGTTTATAAAACTAAAACTAACCTTTAATTCACTAAAGCTTTAAACATGAACACAGTGTTAATGTTTGTGTTTCCTCAAATGCTCATTGTATTTGATTTCCAAAATATGACCAAAGAGTCCTTTAAGATGAGTTCTCTCATGTCTTCTAGCTTCATAAGTCAAACCTACCTAAAGAAGTTTGGTGGTCTTCCCCTTAACTGCTCCTTCAGGAACAATCCCAGAAGGTCAAGAATCAACTCAAAAGTTATTGATTTCTAATTAAGCAAATAATTTAATAAAATAATATTGTACCAAATAGTGTTTTATTTAACTCCTTGGAATTACTTTCTGAAGTGGTTTGAACAATTTGTAATTGCTCTAAAATAATTAAAAGCCGATTCCAAACTCCAAGATAAAACCAATGCCGAATTGCAAGATCTTTACATAATCCTCATGTACATAAAGCTTTTATTCAAAGTTTTTTTGATAAATGAAAAAGTATAACTTGAAAAGTGTCTTCACAGCTCTGCCTTAAGAGTGAGGCAGCAGCAGTTTATCCAGAATGCTGCTGTTTGTGTCCTCACTAAAACTATGAAAGTAGAGCACATCACTCCATCTCTTAAGTTCTTACACTGGCTCCCTGCATTTAGGAGAAGAGGCTTTAAAATACTTCTGTTAGTTCACACATCACTGAATGACTTGTATGCAAGATTTGTCATTTTATCAACCCTTCAAACCCCTCAGGTCATCTGGTTCGAGTCTAATCTGCATCCACAAAACCAGAAAAAAAAATGTCTTTGCTTCACCAATTTGCAACAAATTTACAGAAGACCGCAAAAATGTTCTGAGAATGTGCTTTAAGCATCATAGATTTTAGCCTAACTTGTTTTCTTTTTATTCTCTTTCTTCATATAAAGCACTTCAAATTATCTTGTAACTGTAATGTGTGATACAAATAATCTTGCCTTGTCTTACACAGAACCCCAGACAGATGTCTAGTCTACCAGAATTGTCTGGCTTGATGCACTTCAAAGAACAAGAAGAAGCCATCAGTTATTGTTGCTCCCACATGCTGAGGAGCAACAAGAACTGATAAGCCCACATGTGAGCATTATTTACTGCAGTGCACAACAAAACCAGTAAACACCAAAAGTAGAACTGACCTGAACTGACACCACCGGTTTTAGTTGACATAACGCCCACTGACTTTTTCCAAATGTTAACAAGTACAACCAAGTGTACAACCCCTTGATTAAATTCTCTTCATCTTCCTTTTGAAGTATTTTGCCCATTGACTCTTTCACTATGCCTACTGCTCTTCCAGCGAAACATGTTGCAGCTCTATTCTTGAACAAATATTCTTTTCTTTGTTGTGCTAGAGTCTATATACAGGAAGCAATGTAATCTTTTTTTTTTTTTGTGTGTGTTTACAACAGAGGGGTGTGGAGGAATACAAACAAGCAGGAACTTGTAAGAAATGGGGTATGATTAAAGTTCAAAGGGGATTGCCAGAAACTGAATACTTCCTAGTCAAGCAGAGACCAGTGAAAAGTACCTTCGGCTGGAGAGGTAGTCCTTGGTTTTCTATAGTTATAACAGTACACTAATAATTAAATGGTCAAAGAAATCAGGGGAACTTTGATAACATTAGTCTCCGACAAAATGGGAAATACCATACCGCCCCCACTTCTTTTTCTTTTTTTTTTTACTTTGACAGAAAGGGGTCTGCTTGCTCATGTAACAGTCTGGATGATTCATTACAAATAGCCATCATTTTTAGGTTTAGTGATGGCGTCATTTTTCTTTTTTTAGCCCTTCTTATTGAAACAGAAAGTTGGCAAGGAAGCAACCCAAGGACTAACTAGGCTCCTATAAAGTACAACACAGCACTTCCATAAAACTTTGTTGCTCTTCCAAGAATTAAACCATATGACATAAACTAATTTTACAACAAAGCTACAGACAACTCAAGTCTTAAAACCTGCAAAGCAACTCATCACAAAGTTACTGTTCACTGAGTGACACAAGGAAACTGGTTATACTTGTTCGTTGAGAGTGGGTAACATTAAAACTACTGGCCACACTTTATTGTAAGAAAATCAAACTCATATTAGATTTATACTTTTTCTGTTGGTTATTTCTTCGTTGTAAAGACGCCTCATCACACGGAAAAACACACAAATTCCCCTGTACAATGTTTATAAATAAATACTTTTCTAACAATGAATTCAGAAAGGACTTGCCGAATACCCTTTATCGAATATAAGGGACTTTTAGGGGAGGCTGCTTGATGGCATAGGAAAGCATTTCCCCAACAGGACAAACAACACTTCATAACTGGAGACAATTTCAACGGAGAAGTATTGAAATTCATTTCTGTAACCAGTCTCCATTTTCCAGACAAAACACCATTCTAAAGAAGGTCAATACTCCACCCATAAAGTGAGGTTTAACAGACTACCCTCCATAACTCCAGGATGGAGGGTTCTAGTCCTAAAGTCAATCCTACTGAACACTTTTGGAATCAGTTTGGGGTTGCTGATCAAGACGGGGAGATGAAGATAAATACTCTGAGAAGCAAGTGCTAGTTGAAGAAGGGGACACGATCCCACAGCAATGAGTGATCAAGTAGGGTAATCTGGTAGCCTTGAAAATGTCTAAGATTTATTACAAAGTAGTTTTGTTATAACAATTCATCAACCAAATTCAAATTTCCAATCCTTTATTTTGTTGCTGGGCAGTATCTACCAGAAACTTATTTTTATTATTAAGAAGAAAAAAAATGGTGGGGAAAAAAATACATTATTTGGCAATGTCCAACATGAAACCCGACCTTTCTCTTCTAATTCTCCATGATTCAAAAGTTAATAGATTAGGAGGTGGAATGTGGGTGATTGCAGCCTAATGGTCAGAAAAAAACACTTGTGGGAGGGAGAAAAGTTTTATTCTGCCCACACATGGAGAAAAAAAAAAACCTTCCTCCCCCTTATAATTACTAAGAATGTGTATTTAGATAACTACCTAGCTTACAAACATAGTCAAATTAGGAAAGACATTTTTTTTAATCACACTTCTGTTAAGCTGTCTGCAACTCCAAAAAAAAACAAAAAACTAATTACTACACAGATGGTTCAAGATAATTTTTTCTGTGACATCAATTCCAGGAAGTCACACCACACAACACCTTACAACTTGTCAGTACCTAGATCTACCACAGCCTCTTTCGAGCAGCATTTGGAAAAATCAGAACAAAGAGTTTCAGCCACTGAGTTATATATGAAAGTAAAACAGATGGAAGATATTTGGTCTGTGTTTAATATATTAATCAAAAGTATTTCTTCAAGTAATCTTCCCGATTAAAAAATGGTCATAAGGTGTCATCTGGTAATCATGTACAGTCTTAAAATAATAAAAATATGCAACCCATAAAAGGGTTTCAAAGACAAAGATAGAATAGATGATAAAATACAACCACTGTTGCATTACAATCAGACTACAGGTTTACACCATGATTTGCTACCAGCCATGCGTTTCTGATTGACTCAAAGCAGATGACAAGATAACATTTAAAGGCCAACACTACCTACATATGACACAGATTGCAGAGTCACTAATACTCAAGAAAACCAATGAGGTGTTCAGAAACAATTTATATGAACAAGCACCGATCCATTAAATTCGGATCATTAGCACAACAGAAATCTGTGGCCTTGGAATATCTTCCACTAAATATTTGGACATGTTTGGTAGATTTGTATTTTAATCCTTTAAAAAGTATAAGCATTTCCAACATTGTTGAAAAAGTCCTGAAAGTAAGAGTATTTGTAGCCAGCAAACTGTGCTGACAACAAAAATCATCAATAAATAAATAAAATTTATTAGCCAATGGAGGCCTCGATTTGGACTCACAAAATTTAAGTGGAAAAACACACTACCGGTCTGATCCAACTTTTATATGTTATTAAAAACAGGTCAAAATGAGGCTCAGTGTTGTGTGGCATCCATGCGGCTGTGTAGCCTTCCGAAGAAATGCCACCGCACACCATTGCTGACCCACTGCCAAACCAGTCAGAATGAAGGATGATTGAATTGGTTTCTAACAGTTTGTGCAGCCACATGCACATTTGTAGCCTGCTGGAGGTCATTTAGCAGAACTTTTGGCAGTGCTGCTCCAGTTCCTCCTTGCATAAAGGTAGAGGTAGTGGTCCTACTGCTGGGTTGTTGCCTTCCTACGGCCTCCTCCACATCTTCTGGTGTACTGGGTACTGATGTCCCAATTACTCTTTTTGGTGTAGTAGACATAAGGAGGGGTAGAGGGTATAACTTTAGCCCTCCACAGCGAGGGTCAGAGACAATTTCTCAGAAGCCATGGAGGACAGGGGTTCTACGGAGTGACTGACAGATTTTTTTTTTTTTTTACTTCTGAAAGCCAAAGAAAGCTGTTGGGGTCAACGTCCCTGAGTTGACAGGATTTGACAGGGTTAGAGGAATGGATGAGAAAGAGGCAGATGTTTTGTCCATAAATTCAGGCCAAAAAAGTAGCTCCATACTCATGTGTTTTCCTTTACAATTACCTATCCATATTGAACTTTTACCAACAATTATCTCTATGAGCGTTACCACATCTCTGATAATGGCAGTACCTGTGCTGGGTCCCAATTCAGCATAGCACAGAATGGTGCCACACAGACGGTCTGTGATGGGCTTGATTTTGCGCTAGTGGTATGTTCTCGTATGAGGTAGGAGATGCTCAAAGTCTTAGCAAAGTATATACACATCTTCACAACCTCCCTTGGCCAGAGAAGAATGACCTACTTCAAGAACTTTGGAAAAGGTGGACTACTTTTCAGTCTACTAATACATGCTCTTTGAAGAACATGAAGGGGATTTTGTTTGCAGAAAACCCCAAAGTTCACGTAATACTGGGTTATATTATAAAATAAATAAATAAAACTTATATGCAGTGTTGAGAAGCGATTTTTTTTTATTTTTCTTTAAAACTTGTTACTTGCTGTCGGGGCTGTTGTGCATTCATCTGCCTTGGTGAGCCAATGACATCTTAATAGTCCTAGCCTAATGTATATTTGCAAATGAGATAAATATGTTTAAAATACCATAACCATGGCTGTTAGGCTCATTAAAAGTCAGGGCATCAGCATAACTCCACTGTAATTCTAAATTTTTCAGCACTCGTGCTGAAATGTGCTAGGAGAAAGCTCAGAAATCAGTGAAAGGGACATTATGTTCAGAAAAATAAAAAAATAAGTGCATTGGTATGACTTTCAGCGTAATGGTAACTTATTTGAGCACAACAGCTTGTTACGCTGAGATGCACTGGCAAAAACCCTACAGGCCTTTTTTGTTGTGGATTCTAGGGATGGTGGGCACCCCCTCTGTCAGACAATTTAGCTTTTTAACACATACAATAGTTATGTTGGATGTAGGAGCTTGCCCTGAAATCAAAGGGTTGACGGTTCAAGCCCCGACTCCGACTTTCAGTGTCGTTGTGTCCTTGGGCAAGACACTTCACCTGCATTGTCTACTGATGGTGGTCAGAGGGCCCGGTGGTGCCAGTGTACGGCAGCCCCGCTTCTGTCAGTGAGCCCCAGGGCAGCTGTGGCTACAATGTAGCTTGCCACTATCAGTGTGTGAGTATGTGCGTGAATGGGTGAATGAATGTAGTGTAAAGGGCCTTGGTCAAGTCTCCTAACTTTTATAAAGGCGCTATATAAGTACATGCCATTTACCATTAACCATATATTTATGGGTGCAGCCACCTTTTTACTTGTTAGTACAAGCCATTTATATGTATTAGTCTTCAAAAGGCTATGTCTTCTTCATGAAACAGATGAGAGTCAGAAGGTATTCATCATGCCAGGGAAAGCTTGGCTTTATCTCTTATTCTGGATATCTGAATTTAGTATTTGTGAAGTAGACCTCTGGTCAGAGGTGATGACAATTCAGCAAATAAAACATCCTCCTGTGGTAAGCTTTTTTTTCAGCAGTAACAGGGTAGGTGGTCAGAATTAGAGGGATGAGCCAAGTACAACCTATTGGAGCACTAATCGATAAAGCTATGATTGATCAATATTTACATGTGAAACAAATCTTATCCACCTATCTTATATACCTCTGCAAAGGTCTGAAAATTGTCAATTGTCAATTAAATTACCTCTAAAATCTGCAAGTTTAAGATTTAGAAACAAAAAAAAAGACAAATGTCTGTTTTGGTCTTTTAGAAATGGCACCCATAGATTAATTCTCCCTGTCTTTAGTTACATAACAAATTTTTGAATCAAAAGAGAAAAAAAAAGGGTCAAGGTTTCAATATCTAAAATGTTTACATTGAAACAACATGACTCATTTTCAAGACTAAACGCATAATATTACATACAGTTGTGCCTGAAAGTTTACATATCCTTTCATTAAGGCCTGAAAAAAATAAGCTGCCTGCTAAATGAATTGAAATCAGAGGTTTTTATGAAATATTCAGGAAATGTTCAGTAAGACCTCTGTACCTGTTGACTGGTGTGGTGATTCACAGTTCATGATCAAGGTGCTTTAATTTATCTGAGACAGACTGTTTGTCAGAATTATTTTTTTCAGTAAAAAAAATCTAAATAATAATAAAAAAAATTTACTAAATAATCATTTAGTCCACTTTTATTATAACTTTTTTTTCAGGTATGCATTATTTATACTTAGTAGATTTAAATTTTTCTTGGAGTGGGGTTACCGCATGTAAACTTTCAAGCATAACTACATGCAAACACTTACCAATATCAAAAAAGAATATATCACATGCATAGTGGCAGAGTTTGTAAATAGTGCACAGATTGTCAGGACCGGCTCACATCACTGTGCAGTTGCATCCTTCACAGCAGAGCTAACCATGTACAAGTTTCCAAAACATCAACTACACACCTTTGAACGGTGTGTGAAAAACTGCTCAGGTTATCAGTTTGTGGGAAGCTGTGATGCTAAGTGTGTACTCAGCATTGCATCGCTGTGGTTGCTAACCTTTGCACGCGCAAGTAGTTGCATCTGTTACCTCTGCACTCAGGTATCTGTGTTGTATAGCTGCTAGTTTCCTTAGCTAAATGGAACAGTGGGGTATACAAGTGGAGTGCAGAAAGCTCTAAAAAGTTCCTTCTTGTAAGGATAAAATAAAGACTTTTGATTGTGCAAAACTGAGCTTGAATTTCACTTATGTATGTGATCATTTATAAAATCAATGTAGAATGTTAGAGTGTGCCTTACTGAGGTCTAAGACATCATCAGTCTTGATCAGGTCCTCCGGTCTGGTCAAAGGAAGCTGAGTCTCAGGTTCACCCTGAAGCTGAAGTGACAACGACCGCAACATGAAGAACACCCGAATAGCCTAAAAGGGAAAAGAAATACATGATAAATAGCTACAGAGAATGAGCATCCTAAGGGATTAAAAGAAGAATCTCAGAATGTCTTTAGTTTTGACTTCCTCTAACATACATTTTCCAAGGAATTTAACACTCAATCACAGAACTCATTACTTATATGCATGTATCCGTGTTGACAAACCTTGCGGGTCTTCTCTACGTCACCACAGGGTAGTCGCTTCACAAAGTCAATACCAGTCAGCGGGGTGCCGGTGGGTGGCAGCAATATGGAGGCATCCATCATTAGATATTCCACATTCAGGGGTTTATTCTGCAACAAAAATATAAATAGAAACATTTGGATGAGGGACAAAACTCCTTCAAACTAGACCAAAGTTTAATTTACAGAAAATGACGATTCATTTCAAATGTATTACCACAACTGTTACCAGAATATTGGCTAACCTACCGTCATGCTTCTGTATTCATCTTCAAACATGTCTAGAAAGATTTCTTCGCCCTGTGACAACAGCAGAGATAAAAACAACTTTAGGAACAATCAAGTTGAAATCAGAATCTGAGTTCTTTGTGTTTTGATTTAAAAAAAATAGGGTCTCGTTTCATTTCTTGAAAAGGTGAAACTTGCACAAAGTTTCCCCCCTAAAATCAGTTTTAAGCCTCAGCCAGTCATCTCTCCTCTCTATAGAACAATCAAGATGTCTCAGCCCTCAGAAATGTAGGGCCTTAGGGTTAAGAATGAAGGGCAATTAACAGAATAGGATCCAGCCAAGCCTTCTTTTTAAAATGTCATCTGTCCAAAACCTCAAAGCCTAAACATGTTTTACTTAAATAAAACTTCAAATTAATTTCAATGGGGTATTACAAAGTTAACTACTAAACACCTGACAACTTTCTAAGAATGGAAGAATTTGCAAAAACTTTAGATCAAAGAAGTTAAACTGAAAACCCAGTGCACATTTTTATGACTGGAGAACATTAAACTTGTAGATGCTATCCAGTTCTTCATCACAGGCAGCCGATTGCACATGGGGTCGATCCAACTCATACTTAAACACCTCATACAGGTGCTACTGCTTTCATTCTACTGTCCCCATTTTCTTTCAAATATGGTCTATAACATGCCACTCATGGTTACATTTTTCTACCACTGGTGTAGCTTCAACCAGAAGACTCAGGTCGTGTCAAAACGAAACCAAAAAAATAACCTTCCTCCTCCCACATAATTTTATACTAATCTATAAGGTCCATCACATTATTTAACCATGACAGCTGGAAAACTATTTTGAAATGACTCATGTGAAAAGAGGGGTATTTGTGAGTCAGATCTACATGTTCTGGTTAAAAAAATAGAGCAATTATTTTGATATGAACCTTAAAGCATCCGCAATAAAGCAACCTAGTCCTTCAAATGTACACGAGAAGTATGGGTTAGTCCCGTCAACATAGACATTTCTCCCTCCTATTTGGAACCACCAGTGATCAATTTTGTTTGAAATAATGCTTTCATTTCATGAAACACCAAGGTATATTTTTATTAAATTACCCTTTTAAGATACAAGACAGAAACAAACTGTTGATTGGTCAACCCAGCCCAATTATCATTAATCAGACAGGCACTAAAATTCTGGCAGGATTTTAGTTTTTAGGTCCTGGTGAAGCAAGTTTCACTTTCCTCCACATTATCACTCTGTTTAACTACACTTTAGTAATGTGACAAGTGAAAATATTATTCCAACCACATTGTACATCATATCAGTTAAGTATCATGAGCTGTAAAAACAACTTTTTGGCCCCAGTTATCTGAAACTAAATGTGATGGATGGAGGGGAGGTAAAAGAAGATAGCAGGTCATTTACTTGGCTCAGATACAGAGTGACAACAAATATTAGCAGCCATAACTCCTTATAGCTAAACACAGAGGAAGAACATTAGGAGAGAGGAGTTAGTCATCTATTGCAAGTCTGCAATTTCTTTTATTGACCTAGAAAAAAAAAAAAAAAACTTGTGGAAAAGTAGGCCTTTTATCCCTGTTCACAAACAACAGCTGTAGCCTCAGGGCTCCAGCTATTTACTCTCCGTTCGGTGATCTGTACTAGCTATAGCATCAACCAGCTGCAGACATCTTTTCATAAGTTTGGTTAGTTTCTTTCTGTTCTCTGAACTGAATAACTTCCATAGAACCCTGTCGCATTTCCTGCAGAGATGATCTTTGCAGCAAAAGTGCCTCATTTATCCTACTAATGTGTCCTCAACAAGCTGCCACACTTCCATGCATTACTGCTAGAGTGGCAAGCTGTTCTGTGATTAGAGTGAGGTTTCCACATGGTGACGCTGGTCATCCCTTAATGCTGTAATGGCTCAACATCAAATGCTGTTTAAATGTCAGAAAAGGGCGTTTTAAAATCTACTTAGAAAAGTACAAAAATGAAAAACAGACATATTAAAGCCAGCCGCAGTACAGACCATCTGCAGATCTACAGATAACTGATGGAGATTAAATTGATGCATCTGTATGGATTCATTGGAACAGAGCTAAGCGATATTAGGCATGTCTAAAAAAAGTCAGAAAAACTTATGGGGACACTTCTACAGTTAAAATATTTATTGCAAACCTCTAATGATTAAATTTAGGCAGCGTCACAACAGACTATTTTCCCAGTCTTCATATACCAGGGCAGCATTTTTCAAGTAACAATTTCAGAATCAGTTTAAAGGAAACCTTCAATTCAAAAGTAAAAGGAGCAATAGGTGACTCCTATGACTGATTCTAAAGGTGATATCGAGAATTGATCGAAGCAAAAGTAAAAGTAATGGTAGGAATAACAGCATGTCATATACAAGTGTGGGGAAAAAAAACTGTTAAAACTTTCCAAAAACCTGTTCTTCAGGTAAGTTACCTGAGGAAGACTACTTTCAATTTCAACCTACAAACCGACCAATCCTGTATAAGCTAGGAGGTTTCTGTTCTGATGGTTTTCTTGTATGAAAACCCATGAATTACAAGAAATGTAGTAGATTAACTGTTAGTTAAATAATACTTTTGCTTTCACTTGTGTCACAGGGACAAGCTAAGGTTTTTGAGTGGGCAAGTCTTATAGCATAACAAAAATCAGAACTTAAAGATCTGAAACCATTTTTTTCTTTTACTCAAATGAAAAGATAATACCAGCCTTAGTGCATTTATTAATGTAGTTACCTTGTAAAATGTCCGCAGTAAAAGCAGACTTTCCTCTCTGGCACCCTGCAAACACAAACATTAAGTCTGGAATACCAATCAAAAACAAACAAAACATTTTTATAAACGAAATACAAAACAAGAACACACATGAAGCATATTCTTCCTCCATCTGTCTGCATGTGTGTAACTTTAGAAGATTCCCAAAGCCAACAGCTGCTTCCAGAAAGCAATACAACATTTTTTATTGCCTAGTGGGTTAGGGTTTCCCTGCAACTCCAAATGTGACGCAGTGAGAGCAAATGCAACACGTGTTACAGAAGCACACTTCTGGAGAGTAGGCAATTGAAGCTTTAATGGGAAAGGCTGTTGTGCATTTCCGATGCAGTTCCTTAGAAACGTTGCTAACAAGAGCAAACAATCTGGTCAATCAGCTAGTGATTCATTTCACCTTATTAATAGCAACAAAAGTCACCTACAAGGAGGGAAGGAAAATAGTGAGCAAATACAGTCTAATTTAAACTTAGATTCTAATTCCACTTTTGTTTACCATTTCAATAAAGCAAACATATCAATATCACTGCATTTTATTTTGGTAAAGCTTTATTTATAATTCATAGATCACTATCAGCAATTAGAGAATCTGTACTTATATAATAGTTACGTGCAAAGAATTGGGTTCCTCAAAGAAGAATATTTGTTTCACTCTGAGAGGAACAACTTGATACCATAATGATTATTCTAAGATTACTTTCTGTTTTTTTTTTCATTCATTTAAAAATATATAGCTGTGACTGGAAGAGACGTCCCACTTCCAGAAGACAGGATGCATGATAAGAGACCTAATCAAGAAAGGCCTCTAAAGTGAACAACACAGGACTCAATTTCCCTCTAATCAATCTTTGTTGTGTAATAGTTCCTGGAACTTGGCAGAGCAGGAACAGATATTATTTTGAAACCAAAAGTAGAAACAAAACAGTTAACAAAATGAATTAGTAAGAAAATAAGACTCTCGGCCAAGGAAGATCCAGAGTATACCCGAAGAAACTATAGAGCTCAAATTCTAGTTGAGTAGCAAAACGAAAACATGGACAGGGAAAGCTCTGCTACTCTTATCCTAAAATGAAACAGGTTAGGGTTTTAAATCTAAGGGGCCACATATTCATCTATACAAATCTCCCATTTTTTGTCTTGTAAGCTGGGTACTTAAAGCAAAGACACTGTCTGGGCTTTGATATCAATTTATCTGTGGCTGCCTTGAAATAACCCTACTGATCTGGTGTACAAGCCATTTAAATTTAGTTTTCTTAGCCATCTTTGGAATAATGTTGGCTGACAAAAAAGAAAAAAAGGCCTCAGAAAATGTTTCAGGTAATGCAGAATGCTATCTGCCTCATCACAACTCTGTGGTGTTATAGAAGGGCAGTTCACTATAGGGTACATTTGAGCACAGGCAGGGCAATCCCACAGTTGGCGTCATGTCAATTCTGTGTCAGGAGAGATAAGGAAATATGACTCTTTTCACATGAATGTGGTATGTGCTTCACCTCAAGGCAGGCTAGATGAACGTCTTTGATTAAACAGTGGCTTCCAGATAAGACGGACTGCTTCAGCAGAAGGCAGCTTAGCTCTAGAGTAGCAAGACGCACTTTACCATCTGGAACAAAAAAAAAAAAAGGTTAAAAGGACATACTGGTCCTTCTCAAAATGTTAGCATATTGTGATAAACTTCATTATTTTCCATAATGTAATGATAAAACTTGAACATTCATATATTTTAGATTTATTGCATGCAAACTGAAATATTTCAGGTCTTTTATTGTCTTAATATTGATTATTTTGGCATACAGCTCATGAAAACCCAAAATTCTTATCTCACAAAACTAGCATATTTCATTTGACCAATAAAGGAAAACCATTCTTAATACAAAAAAGTCAACCTTCAAATAAGTATGTACAGTTATACACTTAATACTTGGTTGGGAATCCTTTTGCAGAAATCGGTGCTTCAATGTGGCGTGGCATGGAGGCAACCAGCCTGTGGTACTGCTGAGGTGTTATGGAGGCCCAGAATGCCTCGATAGCGGCCTTTAGCTCATCTAGAGTGTTGGGTCTGGTGTCTCTCAACTTTCTCTTCACAATATCCCACAGATTCTCTATGGGGTTCAGGTCAGGAGAGTTGGCAGGCCAATTGAGCACAGTGATACCATGGTCAATAAACCATTTACCAGTGGTTTTAGCACTGTGAGCAGGTGCCAGGTTGTGCTGAATAATGAAATCTTCATCTCCATAAAGCTTTTTAGCAGATGGAAGCATGAAGTGCTCCAAAATCTCCTGATGGCTATCTGCATTGACCCTGCCCTTGATAAAACACAGTGGACCAACACAAGCAGCTGACATGGCACCCCATACCATCACTGACTGTGGGTACTTGACACTGGACTTCTGGCATTTTGGTATTTCCTTCTCTCCTCCAGACTCTGGCACCTTACAGCGTGCCATGCAAAATGTGCTTTCATCCGAAAAAAATACTTTGGACCAATGAGCAAAAGTCCAGTGCTGCTTCTCCGTAGCCCAGGTCATTCACCCCTGCCGCTGTTTTTTGTTTAAAAAGTGGCTTGACCTGGGGGAATGCGGCACCTATAGCCCATTTCCTGCACACGCCTGTGCACAGTGGTTCTGGATCTTTCTACTCCAGACTCAGTCCACTGCTTCCCCAAGGTCTGGAATCGGCCCTTCTCCACAATCTTCTTGTTGTGCAGCGTTTTCTGCCACACTTTTTCCTTCCCCCAGACTTCCCACTGAGGTGCCTTGATACAGCACTCTGGGAACAGCCTATTTGTTCAGAAATATCTTTCTGTGTCATACCGTCTTGCTTGAAGGTGTCAATGATGGCCTTCTGGACAGCAGTCAGGTCAGCAGTCTTACCCATGATTAAGGTTTTTGAGTGATGAACCAGGCAGGGAGTTTTAAAAGCCTCAGGAATCTTTTGCAGGTGTTTAGAGTTAATTTGTTGATTTAGATGATTAGGTACATAGCTCGTTTAGATACCTTTTTCATGATATGCTAATTTTATGAGATAGGAATTTTGGGTTTTCATGAGCTGTATGCCAAAATCATCCGTATTAAGACAATAAAAGACCTGAAATATTTCAGTTAGTGTGAAATGAATCTAAAATATATGAATGTTCAAGTTTTATAATTACATTATGGAAAATAATTAACTTTATCACCATATGCTAATATTTTGAGAAATGACAAGGAACAGAAGTTGTCACTATTTCACAATAAACAGATATGATGTGCTTTTTTTGTGTGATAATCTGGTTACTAAGCAACAAACTGCTAATACTTCTATTATGAACATGAACTTTCTTGAAAACCATTTCACTTTTTGGTGACTCCAAGCCCAGAAGTCTGGCCTGTTAAGCATTAATCAGCATTTAAAACCCTTTGAGTAGATATGACCTGGCAGCGCTGCCTGGTTCATAATCCTGATCAGTCTCTCCACAAGCACCACGCTGTAAGAGGCCCTCTCCTGGTTGGGAACCGGCAACTGTAGACGCTCCAGAAGATCCTGGTTTACACCTGTAGCAAAAATAGAAAGGTCTGAAAAAGAAACACCTTAAAATATAAAAAAAGAGCAGTCAACAGCTAGAAAAAGCTTCACCTTAGTTCTGATCTAACTATGTAGATTTGAATAAATTATTCTAAAATCGGTTTATCAATAGTTTTTCAACAGAAGGATGCTATTTGAAATGTTCTCTGATTAAAATAAAAAAACAGACATTTTTTCAATGTTACAGAAAAAAATGCTGTCAGATTTAAGTGTAGTTAAGATAAGGATTCAGTGTTCTTAAAGAATAGGATAGCGAGAGCTTTACAACTTGATCCATGTGTGAGATTAAGTAATTATTTGCTAGGTATCGGGAATTACAGGAAAAAAGTAGGAAATTTATTATATGAGTAAAATGTGTTTGCTCTGAGCTCTAGATCAGAGTACAATCATTATTGCATGACTAATGTAGCCAGTATAAACAAAGCAAGTTATCAGGAATTGAGCAAATAAAAAAATTCCAAGCCAACACACTATAACACACTCATTCAGGCAGAGCTATGAAAACTATTCGACAGAGAACAGACAAGATCTGTCAACACCTAGAAAAAAAACTCCCACGGTCTGTGAAACTTAACATTTTAATGAATCCTTCCACTTCCATTGGAACATTTACAGACATGAGGAAGTAAAGCAGGGTATCTCAAGTGTAGCATTTTGTATGGATGAGGACATAAAAATGACCTGCTAAGCATTAAAAATCAGTTATCCTAATGCCAAATTATGTCACTACTGCTCAATTAGTACAGCTAAGTCAAGCTAATATTACATAGCTTGTAACTGTCTCTAGTATTGTGGCCAATGGGTGCAAATAATGCAATGTGCTATAGAGACCACTAGGGAGAGTATACCAGTACAATGCTCTATCAGTATTGTCAGAATCCAAGATTTTATCTTTAAAAGAGGGACGGCAAGAGCCTAAAAGCACCACTTGTCATGGTTTCTTGTGTTATTTGCTGCCATTTCATTTGTTACAGTGATTAGATAAAACCAAACTTTGGTAGGGAGGCACTAGTTGTCGTCCAATTGGCTCAGAAGGTTCTGATGAATGTCCTTCCTTTCCCTAAATAGTGTTTAGATCTAAACCTAAGGGCTACACATGATCAATCTGGTTTGCCAGCATAAAGATATAGAAGACGATCTTTTATTTTCGGGTGGATCATCTAAATAAGTGTTCCACCTAATTGTCGATCATTCTGGTGATATGTTTATGTAAGGCCGTCCTATGTGCTCGTCCTGTTAGCTATCTTTTTCTTCGCATGCACATTTTCAGGCGTATATCTATGGTGAGCTATGGAGCTAAGTGTATGAGAAGAAAAGAAAGGCCGATATATCCCGGAACGCTTTGTGCGGAAAGCTCTCTTCGCAAAGCATTATGGGATTTGCTGTTACAGCAGCCCGCTGTCACCAAAGGCTGTTGCCCCCCCGACAGTGGTGACTAATAAAGATGGCGCAGGCACCGCGCAGTGGAGGGGGAGTTACATGACCAATGCGGAGCAAAAAGCAGTGATCATCTGTCTAAATGGTCAGTTAACTAAGCTTGCTATAAAGTCCACTATATATTCCCCACTCTATATAGTGATTGAGGGATTTAGGGGTTAGGGCAGACGTTCAGACACAGTAAGCTTGCATGAGCTATAAGATCAGCAACTTTTAAAAAGAGCGTGACTGAGGAGAAATGGGCTTGTGCAGGCTTTTTTTTAAGTGGAGAGGGCGGGACTTTTAAAAAACTTGCAAAATCCTCCACAACACCTTTAACAAGAGCCTGCATGAATCTGCTGCAGTCCTTAGAGTCATTCCAGTAATACTGTAAAAGGTTAAGATAAATGTAAAAAGAAAGAAATCAAGAAACACCAGCTTTTTATTCCAGCAAACTTTCTTACTGGATCCCATTATTGTCTATTCAAAGGTTCTGGTCCCACCCTACTTAGTTGTCGGGTAATCCTAGTGGTCTGGTAGACTTATGATTTATGGTGCAACTTTGCAACTCTTATTGAAATTGCCATTCCCTACACATCTTTAGGAATGTGTTATTCCAGAGCAGCTTTGTTAGTTTTGAGCTGGAACTTGGCTGATCTATATGAAATTAACAGCGAATGCTGTCGTAAATGGGCAAACCTTTGCTGTGTGAGATGGCATACAACAGACAGAGCACAAACAGGGCATGGTAGTCATCACTGGTGCAGTCAAGGGCACCATACACCATGTCCAGAAATGGTCTGCAGGAAAGAAGAAGAAGAAGAAAAAGGAGAAGCCAAGGTGTGAGTTCACAAACACCATGTTCTCCTTATTTACTGTAAGACTGAGTGTGTTTCCATGTACCTGCTCCTTTGTGTGTTTGTTCTGGTGGCAGCAGCTGTCTTTTCCTCATCAGTGATGTTCTGTTCAGCCAGTTCTGATGCTGTACACTTGTCCATCACCACCATCTCAATTTCTGTGTACACACAACCACATTTTACTCTGCACATCGCACAAATTAATGTTTCAACTCATAACCCCCACATGATTAGCATAGGTCACAAATATTAAGTCAGTAGTTCACACAGCGCATTGTAGGAGAACTCAAAAATCTTTTCGTACACTTCGTTTTCTACTGGAAATTTGTGACGGGCCAACACAAAGTAGTATATAGGTGTTAAGTGGGAGTATAAGTATACATGTTTATCTGTTTTTCTAACAGATACAAATATGAAATTTACATTCATTTATGCCATTATGCTGCTCAGTTAGAAGAAAATGTTAGTAAAACAACCAACTCTTGCAATACGCTATACAGCCTTAAAGCAGGAGGAGCACAGAGAATGAAAAAGCTATCATCTAAAAGATGAAAGAATGACTGCAATTTTCCTAAAACTATGTCAGGTACATGGCAAACGTGTAGAAAAAATGGCTCTAGTGAGGCGAGCAAAAGTTTAGCCTTTTTTAACATTTTCAAAATACTGTGTGCAAATAAAAACTGAAAATGGGGTAAAACACAGAGATAGTGGTATCATGCTGTGTTGGAGTTTGTTTTTTTGAGCAGGGATAGCGAAGCTGGTTAGATTTGGTGGGTTGAGGCTGCAAATGACTGCAGCAAAGACACCCTCGCTCAACACGCAGTAAAAGCCCAAATAACTTTAAAGCAGGCTTTAAAGCAGGCTTCCTTCATTTTCGGTGTTCGTGTTTCAGTGTTCTGCCGATTTTAGAGGCGTCTCTGATTCGATACATCAAATAATCAGGTCATTAGGTGAACTCTGAAGAAATCGACTGTATCCTGAATAGGAAATTCATCCATTTGATTCAGGTGTGTAAGCAGAACCACTGGAACTTGTTTAAACCATATTTACATGTTGGAATATTCAAGTCAAAGTCTGGAACCAAATTCAATGCAGAATCTGACTTGACAAGTAATTCCAGCATCTAATCTCCACAATATCCAAACATTTTTTTGTGTCTGACTACAGAAAGACAAAAGAGACAAACCCCAAATCTGCAGCTTAATTACAGCAAAAGGCGGATGTGAAAAGTATTAACTCAGTGGAAGCTTTATACAAATACACATACAAACATTCCATTTCACCTTTAAACTCTACTTTGTGCTGGTAAATCAACAAAAATCCCAATAAAATAATATGTTGTTTGCAGCAATAAACAAAATAAAATCTTGGTGGCAATGTTTTTGCAAGGTGCTAAACAAAGGATAAACATAAATGTGGCCTAAAACAATTCATTTTCTAATTAGAACATACTGTACCAGTTCTATATTAGCTAATGAAATGCACCTACCCAACAAAGACATGTAGCATTTAGTTCACATGCCATTTTCTAATTTTAATGTATAGTTCAACAGCTTGCTAACTAGTGTAGGTGTTGTTTTTCCTACTCATTAAGTTCACATCTGACTTAGAAGCTATTTCCTGCTTATCTGCCCACCAGGTTTCATTTACAGTTTACAGTCCAAAAAAAAAAAATAGCCATATGGTCTTTGGAGGCATTATAAATTCTGTCTCCCTAGAAAATCCTTTATGAGAAGAATTTTCATCAAAACACAAAAGGAATCATTTCAGATGATTGAAATGGTCACAAACAATGCAAAAGCTGTACAAAACACACAAACACAGTAAGAGAAGCAGTGGTAGAAAGGCAGAGAGGTGAGGAGCACAGGATGGATGGTGCGTCATCGCAGGAATGGACGGGTCTAATGGGGATTGTGTTTAATGGGGTTAAACATGGATAAATAAAGAAATATCCCAAACAGTGGAAAGAGTGAAGCCATCACCATTATCCTCAATTGCTGTCATTTTTCTGATTTTTCTTTTTTTTTTTTTTTACCCCAAAATGTTTTTCTTCTTTAATTGTTTAACCATCACCCAAAATAAAATCAAAGCAGAGGAAATGTTTGAAAGGTTGACAGAAATTAAGCCATATTGTCCCTTTAGCTCTTCTCTTTTCTGTTTGGAGGACTCATGGGAAACAAGAACTCTGATCGATGGCAGAACATTCACACAAACACAGTCCTGTACTGCTGTGTCCAATGGGACACAAACTCACCTTCCGCCATCTCCCCACTCGCTCTGCCTCCCTTAGAGCTCCCACTTCCTCCTCCTCCTAATCCCTCTGTACCTTTTCCCTTCTCCCTCTCTCCTCTGCTGCTGTCATCATCCCAGCTCTCCTCCAGTTCTCCTCCTCCGCCACCGCCTCCCCCTGCTCTTTCATCATCCTCCTCGCCCAAGTTTTTGTAATTTGGTCTTTTTTGTGTTTTCTTGCGGCCTCGATGGCGAGACATTTCCAGGGACCGCTCCAGAGACTCTGGGGGTTTGATGAAGCGACGAAGAGCTCCTGCACTGGCATGCTGTTGAAAAGGTTAGCATAGGGACAAATAAAAAAAAAGGTGAGCAAACAGGAAGCTTACAAAAAAACTGGAAGTAAGCATATTTACACAAACATAAAAAAAATACAGATTTTAAAATAATATAAAGAGATAAGTCCAGTAAATCCAAAACAGTTTTCAGATGATTTAATTTGTTAAACAAAAATAGCTAATAAAACAAACTAGCACTAAAACAATATCTTTTTGCTAAAAAAAAAATAAAAATAAAATAAAAAATGTAATAAATTGAAGCATTTATTGGCTCTGTCAGACCTGTGGAATCTAGATATTACATAGAGAAAACATGCATGACAACACAAAACAGGTCAATAGAGCTCAAAATGCTGTTCTGTTACAGTCATCACAAGACAAGATTGTTTTGAGGAGAGTTCTGCATCCTGTGTCACTGGGTGTAAAACATGGTGGTGCTGCTTTTCCTCTTCAGGACCTGGAAAGCTTCCATTAGTTAATGGTGCCCAGATTTCTTATCCTGATCCTAAAATCCTGAATTTGAACATCTGGCCATTGGCCTCTGAACCTAAGCTACAGTACACTGGGATCTGCTAAACAAAAATGATCCAAACTCTAACATTAAGTCCACTTTGGAGTGGCTCAAAACCAAGATAAGGTTTTGGAGTGGCGTAATCCAAGCCCAGATTCGCATCACTATTAGGTTCTTAAATAGATTTATGGAAAACACTCTATAATGGGAGGGTAACCTAACAATGTGGGTTTAGGTGCTTTAATCTTGTGTAGGACCAGCAGGTCAAATTGTGTTGTTTATGCAAAGCTAGAAGGCAGCTTATGTTGCCACAGGTAGAACAATGATCTTGTCCCCTCTTACAAACTGCTTTTTGCATTTACTTTGCATGATGTTTCCCACCAGGAAATATTCTGTTTACTTAAACGGTTTCTCCAGAGCTGAATGAGAACTTAAAATTCACCAAATTCACTTTGGAGCTCGACTTTTTAAACCCTTGATCTGATAATCAGCCCTTACTTTCCTAGAAACGGAAGTAAAGATCTGAAAATCATATTACATGAAAATTATTCCCTAGAAAAGAACGAATCCAGATAGTTATCCTGCACTTCCCCAGGAATAGAATCAAAGTTTTTGCAGGGCACAGAATGTAGATTATAATCATCATTATTCTCTGAATAAAACCCACTGAGGCCTTTTTTACTTAGAAGAGTTCAACTCCTGTGCTTCCACATCATTAATCTATATATGGGTAAACATTCATGCAGAAAAGCAGATACACATGAATAGCTAAGTAACGGGAATCAGTATTACAACTAAGATATCTCTACACACGGTGAGATATGCACACAGTTACCATAAATGCTTCTCGCACTATCAACGCACATCAAGGTCACTTAAAAAAAATGTATAAATCTATAAACCACTTCCGATATGCACTCAGGCACAATATGAGAAAATGACCCATAGACACAGCTGCCCAGAAACACTGATGCATTATATTATTGGCATGTCAGTCTTTGTTGCAAAAGAAGAAATGTGGCTACAAGAATACCATTCAGTTGTAAGGCTTGAAGTTTCAAACCGCATGTTGCGAACCTGACAGGATACAGCTGGTAAATGATAAGAAGCTGAACACTGATGTTAACTGTGACTTACAGTAAAAACTGAAAACTCTACTACAGCTGAAAAACACTGCTGATAGTCAGCTATTTGATGAGAGGAGTCAGAGGCAAGCCCAAAGGAAAGTCAGTTTCATATCAAACCAAATATTGCTTGCATAGACTTCCAAGCAGTCAGTCAGATGTCAGCGATTTTCTGTTTAATTTTCCGGCATTCTCTTACAGTCTTAAGCATTCTGAACTCCTGGACAAAAGCAGAATTCTGGTTCTTTTGAGGTTTATGAAAATATCTGACCGTTATGCACAGAGGCAAGCTCACACTGAACCACAACACCCCAGAAACAGTGAGCATCACTACCTGTGGGAGCAAAGTCAACAAGACTGCAATGCCTTCAGACTAACCTGAGAAGAAAAGAAAACATCAACAACTACTGAAAATGCACAATCGGCAGAAAATTAAGCTGTGCACAATTTTCTAGATATTAAAGCACTTTTAATTGTTCAATTCAGCATTTCCAGAACGTACAAATGTAAATGTGTGCTATTTATGCAAATGTTGAAGATTCAAATTTTCACCCACAATGAGTGAAAAATGACTGCAATGGTAAGGGGGGGGGGGTTAATCGTAATGTTTGTAAGGACATGTTTTTTTGATATCATAACAAGGCTAAAACTCTAACTAAAATGACATAAAATGACTATAGAGCTGAGAAACAGACCCTTTTCTAAACAGATTCCTCAACAAATTAAAGATAAACCTTTTCAAAATAACCACTAAATATCTTGGTGCTAAAACGTCCGGCTAAAAAAAAAAAAAAAAACTTTCCATGTCATCAGTAGGAAATTCAAGAAGGATTTGAGAAAAAGTGAAAACCCTTTAAAGGAGCACAGTGCAAGCTTTACAGTATTTCCCCCATCTAGCAACAAGTTGAAAAATTACCAGTTTTTTGCACGAGCATGGGAGAGAACAAAAAGGCTGCGCTAGAATCCAGCAGCTGTGTCCTCTGAAAGCCAGATTCGTACTCTGATTATATCATAGTGCTGCGCTGTGGCCTGTTCGGATTGAAAGCCTTCAAGCCTTCTTTCACCCATTTTTAAGGAGAGGTCCGATGTATCCTCCATAGCCTAGGATTGCCAATTAATCATTGTGAGTCCTAGAAAGACGGCTGCTACTCGCTCAAAGGAAAAGGGTCAATTGCGTTGAACAGTTGTCAATATTGTAAGTGCAATTTACTATAATACAGTTTGTGAATAATTCCGTCTAAAATTAATGAAAATATAAATGGTCATTTAGTCAGATGAGTCACGGATGTTTGGTTTGTTGAAAGATTTTATATGTCCCTGTGCAAATGGGATTGAATGACATTTAAGGAAAACTTCCCATATCTGTGTAGTGTGGGGACTACAAATCTGATATACATGATGTCGGTACTGTTGCTATAACTCCTCGAAAATGAAATCAGCTCTCAGAACAGTAGTGAAAAGATCAACATCCATTCTTTGCCTGCTCTGTGAGTCAAATGTCATGGTTTCTAGGTCACAGAGCATGTGCTGAGTGAGGGACGGTGAAAGCTGAAAAAGGCTGGACCTGTTTGAATCTACAGCCAAACTCTCTCAGCCTCCTTATTTTCACAGTCCTCAAAGGACCCAGTCCAGGTAGAACAGGTACTTCGGAGGACACAGCCACCGAAATCCAACCACGTCAAAGTCTGATTCTGTAACCAACCAGACTCAAGTTTCTGGTTCTGGTCATAAGTTTTATTCTTTCTCTTGACTCACAGAGCACTTTATGGCGTACTTTATGGAATGGAAATTTTCATTTATGTGATCCATCTTCAAAAACAGTTACCCTATCTTCTTGGTGATTCACCATTGGCGGCGGAGAAAGTACCCAGGTGAATGAGCACCATGTACAGAATAGCCTATGACCTCGGTCACGCTCTGATGAACTGACCAGTAGAGCTTATAGAGGCAATTGATTGACAGGGCACAGCATGTTGTGTGCATGTCAGAAACACAACATGCTTCAGCAGATAACCACAAGGCTAAATGTAATACAGCGAAACCATTAACGTTTGTCCTTTGACGAAAGCAACTTCTAAGGCAATATCTGAATTTCAGGGATCAAAATGTAAACAATGCTAATGAACCTCACAGCTAATCTAAGATGTTAGAGTTAAATGTTTCGATTCAGTGATTATTTAATACAATAGTAAAACTCACAGCAAAAAATAAAACCATTAAGAGCAGGAGTTCTGTTAAAAAGTAAATTGAAATCTGATCAAATCTTATAGATTTAGCTTGTTCTAGGTTCTTTTATAAAACACTACCACTAGTTCACATGATTTCATTTACTTCTAGTACAAACAAACAAGAAAGGTTTAAAAAATAAGTTAATCCCCCACCATCACTTCTCAGTTACACAGCATCATTTCTCATCAATAAAAACGCAAAGATGTGCATTTTTTTGAACTACAATTGTCCAATCCTTTGAAGCTTCTTATCAATCTAAGCTTGTATTCTTCAAAATTCCTGAAACAGCAAAACTAGCATAATAACTTTCCACAATGACTATATAACAAGCTGTTGAGGAGCATGTAAAGATATCCTGATAGGATCGTTTTTATCGCAACTTAAAACATTTGAACAGTATTCAAAAAATGTAGCACTATCCATACATTAAAAGAGAAATAAATAAAACTTCATCTCCTAAAAACCAACTGAACAGGATTGTACTTTAGTTGCAGCTAAAAACACAAACTGAGCCTGCTCTCAGACATAAACCACAAACTCGTATCTGTGTGTGAGTTGCACCTGCTAGCTGACAATGTTCTGGTAAACCGCTCACAGTCTCAGCCACTGCTGAGAAATTAATGGAGGTCAGGGAGCATGCCCTGTGCAGAGAGAGACGCACGAAAACACCTAAACCAAAACAGACGCACGCTTAAAAGACAGCATGCTGTGCAGGTAAAACATCGGCAGTTACAAATTAGTTTAAACTACAACAGCAGCTCCTGCTTTACAGGAGATGAAATAAAAAAAAAAAAAAACATGCTGCTAAATGTATGCAAATACTGACATTATGTATCTAACTGGTGCACTTGCAAGAGACAAAACAGATCTACAAAAGCAATAGAGAGAGGGGAAGAAAAAAAAAAACACTGCTTCCAGGAAAGAGATCTGGGTTAGGTGAGCCAGCCCTGTCGTGTTCCACCATGTGAACTAATTTCCTGCCACATCACAGACAAACAGGAAGTGCCATTTTACCACCTGCAAAGAAATGCAGCCCCATTCCAGCTCTGCCTCCTTTTCATCTACCAGAAATCAAACATATATCTGATGAGGCGGAAATAATTAAACATCCACATCTCGTGCTGATTAAAATGAAAAAATATTTTTGTATTTTGTGTTTTTCCCATACTGATTTATAAGCTTTATTTTTGGCACACTTACAACCATATGCTTTTCCTTGCTACTACAGGGGTTTAAGCAATAAGGATAGGAAGGAAAATGGATAGCTTTGGCCCTACAACATGGAACGTACACTACTTTGTGTGAAAGGCTTTATGAACCAACACGTAAATCCTCACATCTTTGACTGATGAAGCAGGTACTCGTTTTAGGAAGGCTCTCTCCTGTTGTGGTCTACCATAACTGAAGGCATTATGCCTCAAGTCACATTCACCGAAAAGGTAGGCAGCTTCTTACAACAGCCGCAGCCTGAGCACACAGAAATACACACAGAGCACAGAGAATAACCACACGGGTTCTCAGAAACGCTCACTACTGCTGCACGCCCACCTGCCAGTATAAACAGATGGTCAAAATTAGGAAGGGAGGGAGGGGCAAAAGGGGAAGGGAAACTAACATCTAGAGGAGAAAAAAAATAAAAAGAGGCGAGGGGAATAAGATGGGGAAGAAAGGGGGATGTTGAAGAGTGAGGTTAAGAAGAGGAGAGTGAAATTTCATGATGCGACTGACACAACGCTTTCACACATATTCCAAGCAGGACAGATAGACCCACAAAAATGAAATTATGAGACATAATTATCATTTAGTTGTGCTGATGTTGAAGAACACCACATGGTGAAAATCAATGACCCTGCGATCTCAAAACCACCTACCTGCACTTCTGGAAGTCTGTGTGGTTGTTTGTGTAGGTGTGTTTTCTTGTTTGAGCCCAGTGCGCTTGCTTCATTTGTGAGCATATGTCACTTTGTACACTACTTAGCATGCTGGTGAGTCAGATTCTGGTTTTGGCTATTTTAAACTTTGGGAGCATTGCTTGCACTTATGTTATGTTTACATGACATGGCATCTAGTACACGTTTGGGAGTTTTTTTGAGAGCATGTGTTGGTGTAAGGATATAATACCGTATTTTTGTGTGTGCTGTGTACGTCTGTCTGGCCAATGAACACAGAGAGGTCCCCATTGAGAATAACATCGGCAAGGGCGTTGACCAGAGGCTGATAGTGGATGATAAGAAATACCTGGGGTAAAAAAAAAACAGAAAAAAAAAAAAAACTTTTGTCAAGCTTAAAAGTACAATCGGGACATTTCCACTGCAGATCAATCGTGTCACACATTTTCTAGTCAGTACCAATCCGTTTCAATGTTAAATCAGATTTTATTTTTTTTCAACAATAATTTTTCCAAATAACAATTTAATATCTTATAAACCAAAGATGATGTCCATCACAAGCAGTTCACAAAGAATGGGTGTTCTCTGATATAAACATAAAGTGGTTGGAAAAAAAAATGGAGAATGGATTATGTACAAGGACAAGAGTGAGCTTTGATCATTGTCATTTCAATAAAACATTTTTAATTAACTGTGGTGAAACAGTTTATAAATACCTAAATTATCTAAAAATGTTAAAACCTGCATGCGAAAAATATTAAATAGTGTATTCTGATATTTGCAGTTTTTACTAAAAATTAAAAACCACTTTATGTTCACTTCCAGCCGCCCCGAAAGGCAGCAGGAAATCCCCGGCAGCCTGGCCGGCCTCAGAGACCTTTCAGTCCAGTCCTCAATCATATACTTATAGCAAAGATGGCCAGAGATATTCTCAAAGTTAATAAATGTCTTTTCGGCCGTCACAAACTTGAGTTTAACAGCTGAGCTGATGAACACTGGAGGTTATTTTTACATACAACATTAAAGATGTAGTTAAGTTTTAAGTTTTATTAAATGTTTCTCGCCAATTAATAAAATCCACCTTTTCATAGTTGAGGATACAGATTTCTGTTGACTGCACTGCTTACCTTAGACTAAATGAGAAACATACCCTTATGAGACTCCAGATCAAAATCTAGAGGTGGCATCCAGCTTGAGTCGAAACATATTTTAATTTACCTTCTTAAACTTTAACTTGTCTGGTGTTTAGCATATGCTACTTACTTGAGAAAGCAGGTAGAGCGACACCTGGGGATTAATCTTCCTCTCCTCAGACTGAGAAAATAAAAAGAATATCATTAGAATACATAAGATCAAGTAGAAGGGTATTTGAAAATTGTTGTTTTAGGAATATTTGAAAGCCTAAAAGAAACTCCTAACTAAAGTTTTGTCATTATTGTAAGAGGAAATAAAGCTGGTTACATCAGTGATTAAATGATATGAATGTCTATTTATAGTTTTATGTCAATTACTATGGTCAGATATTCCCTTAATAATAATAATAACAATAATACATTTTATTTGAAAGCGCCTTATCACAACACCCAAGGACACTGTACAGGCAGATAAAAACATTAAAATACCCTTGTGAGTATTATCACACAAACTGGAACCTATTTTAATTTAAACAACTTTAAATATTGATGGTTTATTTAAAGGGCAAATGTCCATTTCATTTTCAATTATCAATCATAAAAAAAGATTCTAAAAAAGTTTTCTATAACAACTTAAAAAAAACATTTCAACCTAGAATGAAAGCACTTATATCCATATTCTAAGAGTACATACAATACAATGATTGAAAGGGCATGAACAAAAAACAAAAAACAAGCTGATGTGAATGGATGGGGAGTGTTTGTGACGTTGAACATACCGTCTCAGGACTAACCAAAGAGTAGACATAGAGGGGCAGGAAGAGACGATTCAGGAGGTGGTCAGTTAGCACGTCATTTAGGAATTCACAGTTGATGATGAGGATATCATTCAGGTAGTGAAGATGATCGAGGTGCTCTGCTACCAGGTCACTTAACTTTCCTCTGTTCTTATGCCTGCAACATAACAGCAAGAAAAAAAAAAGAGACAGCCTTAATCAGTTTATACAAAATTGCAGAAGAAATTATTTTTTTTTTTTTATCCAAATAGGGCATGATGTTGCATACATGAGGCCAATGGAGATACAGAAGCTCACAAACCTGAGCCAACCATGCCCCCTAGAGGCTGCAAATAGAGGCACACACTTACTCTTCATCTGTCTGCACACACTTGTCCAGCTCGATGACATGACTGCCGATAAACCAGACCAAGTTACTGAAATATGGGACCGCTGTCTTATCTCGAATGTAGTGCAGCATGTGCTGGTTGTCCACTGGAGAGTGTGGGAGCAAAAGAGAGAAGATTTCACTGAAGATGCCCATAGATACCAGCTCATTCATACACATTGCAAACGTGTAAAATCTGAAACATGAATATAAAATTATAAATAATCCTAATTAGACAACAGACTTAAAATTCCTCATAGACCTAGGAACTAAATGCTAAATAAAATACCAACAGGATCTGCTCTCTTGCTAGGTGGAGAATTTAGTATTATTCCTTAGCTACAAGCTTTGAATTTTTTCCATAACTACAAGACAGACAATAAAATACATCTAGTTTTGAAAAGTGTAATAAAAAAAATCCATAAAATGGTAGATAAAGTATTTCACATGCTTCCATTTATTATATGCCACTTTGATGCTGTTGGATGACCCCTTTCCTTTTACAAGCCTACAATAAGCCATAACTAAGCCAAACAGGAATTTATCAACAATTATTTGTTGTCATATTTGTATTTTTCACCATAACGTGTATCATCCCAGGTGTAAAACCTATTGCACCTCTACAGAGTTTACAGAGTGAGAAAACCCGTCTTTCCCAATGATATAACAGAGCTACGAAAAATTAAGTACCGGTAGTATTGTTTTTTTTTGGCTAAATGTGGGGTTCTATTGGAAAAAAAAAAACAGCAACTTTATAAGATCCCACCACCATTAAAATATGTGAAACTCTAGAGAAAAAAATGTTGGTTTTAAAGAACATAAGCTGAGGAACAATTAAAAGTGGAATGCAAAGTTTTCTGCATGTATGTAGATGAGTGATATGTGATTAATGAGCCTAGAAACACCTACCCATACATTAGAAACAAATACACCATTAAAAACAAGCAGGACTTGGTAACAGCAATTAAGAGCTGATTTAACCTGAACAAACTCATAACATTTTAACATAAAAATAGCTCTCCTGTACAGATTTCCACAAGGAACAAACTGAATCTTTAAATCAGGACTGCTGTGATTCTAGCAGAGAGCTAGGATCAACTGTGCTAAATCAGCTCAGCTAAATACTGATACCAGGCTCTAAAAAGACTGAATGAATGGAACCAACTTACATGAAACTGCAGTTAGGCAGATGGGACGCGTAGAAGGAGGAGAGACAAGGAGAGGAAGAGGAGGAGTGATTGGAGAGGGGGGAAACAGACACAGGGTTAATGTGAGTAAAAGGGGCGGCAGTGGATGGGTGGAGGCAGGGAAGGATCCCACACTCATCTTGACCAACTGCAAACAACATCACACTTGGAAAACAAGTTTTAATATCCAATAGCTGCGTTATAGATAATATTTGACCAATAAAAACCCATTCTTCATATTCTACCAAATTAGGGCAACAAACTAAAGTATTTTAATAAAAGTGGATGTGATAGACCAACACAAAGTCAGGCTTAGTTGTAAAGAGAAAGATGATTATGATTAAACTTCTATAAAAAACTTCAATTATTATTATGTCTTCTCCAGGTTGGGAAGGATGTACTGCCCCTAGTGGAGGAGTTATTTGGTGTCTTGTTCACGAATGAGAGGAAGATGGAACGGGAGATCGATAGGCAGATTGGTGTGGCGTCTGCTGTGAAGCATTCACTGTACCGGTCTGTTGTGGTGAAGAGAGAGCTGAGCCAAAAAGCAAAGCTCTCGATTTACCGGTCAATCTACGTTCCTACTCTCATCTGTGTTAATGACCGAAATAACTAGAGATCCCGGATACAAGCGGCTGATATGAGTTCTCTCCATGTGTCTGGGCTCTCCCTTAGAGATAGGGTGAGGAGCTCAGTCATCCGGGGAGGACTCAGAGTAGAGCCGCTGCTCCTCCACATTGAGAAGAGCCAGTTGAGGTGGCTCTGGCATCTGGTTAGGATGCCTCCTGGACATCTCCCTGGTGAGGTGTTCCGGGCACGTCCCACCTAGAGGAGGCCCAGGAGAAGGCCCAGGACATGCTGGAGGGACTATGTTTCTCGGCTGGCCTGGGAGCGCCTTGAGATTCCCCCTGAGGAGCTGGCCCAAGTGGCTGGGGAGAGGGACGTCTGGGCCTCCCTACTGAAGCTGCTAACCCCGCGACCAGACCGCGGATAAGCGGAAGAAGACGGATGGATGGACTTCAACTATTCAATTTATACCACTCCATTGTATGTCTGGCTTCAATTTCACAATTATCCTGCTGCAGGGCAATGGACCTACTAAGTCTAATAATTCTTATTTAGCCTACTACCATTTCATCTGTCCTGCATTGCAGCAACCAGCTGAAGAATAGTGATCTTCTATATCTGTTCCTCGTGTCCCTTAAACCTGGCACCTTATCTTTAAAAATGAATGTCTTAATCTTGCTGTTCCATAAAAGCAGATGATATATATGATGATATATTTCCTCTAAACAGATTCTCCCACTTGAGCTTTGGATGTTTGCATCTCCTCCAGAGTCACCAAGGGAGTTTTAACTGCTTCTCTGAATAATGCTCTTTGATGCCTTCAGAGAAATGCTAGAATTATAAATCAAAATGTACATCAATGGATTCCATCTAATGAGGTGGTTTCTAAGGATCATTAGTGGTACTAAATTTTATTTAGGGCTGATATGACAGTTGTATAACAGCAAAGTAAGCAATACTTTTCAGCTTCCTATCTGGTCAAATAAACAGAAACATCAATCATTCAATATTCCTATAATAACTATGTGTTGGTCTATTATGTTAAGTCCACATGAATTGCATTTCTTGTTGCTGTAATAAGATCAAATGTTAAAAAAGGACTGAATGTGAGTCAAAGGGTGACTAACCTGTTTTCCAGGTGGTCATTTGTTGCAGTGCACAGACTAGGAATCAGTAAGAAGCATATATCAGAATTTATACACACAACCAGGTAGTTTTATTCATTCTTATTCTAATCATTTGTAGAATTTAATAGCCTTTGACTTATTTTGAATTTGATGCTGCTGCGCATTAGGCTGCATCGACTCCTGGCATGGTGCTTTAACAAGTAAGAAAAAAGAAACTACAACAGAGTTGTTGCCTTAAAATTATTCTTCTGTTTGAGACTCCTTGCTTTTTTACAGCTCATAATAAGAAAAGCAATAAATCTGACAGATTACAAAATTATAGTAAATAGGATTTCAGATGCTCTGAAAAGTAACACATTTTCACAGACTAATTGTAACAAGTTTCTGAATTGAAAGGTCATGATGATGCATGGAAAATTGTAGGCTACGGCGGCTTACATCCAACAAAGTCACACATGGGAATTACTGAAAAACAGACAGAGTTGCACTTGGAAAAAACTGTGAACCTCAAGCCTGGCTTACGCTTTATGATTCCACAAGGTCAAGGCTGCCAAACTAAACCCCCCACTGTTTAGCATCAGCACAGCCTAATTTTTGGGCCACAACTTGAAAAATGAGTATTTACAGACAGCTTTGCTCTAAAAAGCATGGTGAATGAGCGACGGCTCCTATTGTCGAGGGTTTGCAAATATAAACATCTAGAGATGTCTTATGATCAACAGATAGTGAAAAACTCTTGAAAAGAATTTAGTGTCACTCTTTGATGACACAAAGAGGCATAAAAAATGTTGGAAGCATCTGTTATTCACTTCAGCGCATCGTGTGGTTTTGTAAACTAGAAGTCTGTGCTGTACGTGGTCACCTAGAGTCTGTTCACTTGAAATGTTTATCAGGTTAACTTGAGTTTGCTGCAAAGCTGAGGATGTCTCGATGACATATACGACACATAAGTGTTATCTTAACTAAAAAAGGAAAAGTAAAACAAAAAAGCAACATCTCAATCAATATTAATCTTATTGGTTGCTTTTCTCAAGATAAACACTGACAAAAATATTAGTGGAAGTTAGTTAATGCCGTTAAGATTTCTAGAATTAACAAAAAGGCACTGCATGAATCCACAAAACAAAAAGGTCTCCATACACGTACAAGCAGAAAACTAAATTTGGGAAAAAAAAGGAGACTTAAATTCTGACTAAAAAAGCTGTAAAATGCACTTAGTAAACAAGAGAAGGCTAATAAAATTTTGCAACAACCTGTAAAAACTGTAACCATCAGATAGATGGAACAGCATGATTAAATGGGTTGTAATTCAAACATTATAGCAGCGAACTGGATGTAAACCAACACTTAATAATTATTAAAAGGATCTCTATTAAATGTTGAAAAAGGCTGTCATTGTCACTGGCCTAAAAAGTTTGTATGCAACGTCCACGACAAACTTTAACTAGAATAAAAAAAAACAAAAAAAACAGAACTCCATTGATTATTAAAAGCCAAAATAGAAATCAGCAGAGAGCATATATGTTGTTATCACCGGCTGGTCATGCTCATGCATAAAAGGAAACGGCAGAAAGGAGGCGGAAGCACAGAGAGAGTAAAGCTGCAGGCTGTCCCAGAAACCTTTTGGTTTGAAGGCATGTAGACATGCATGTAGCCAGAACTCACCTTTGTAGACGTTGAGGGTGATTGTTCGAACTGCGATGCGAACCATGCTTTCTGGGTGGTTGAAAAACTTAATGGCTTCGGTGTACAGGGCAAAGTCATTAGTGTGCTGTGTGTGGGAGACAGAGAGGAGGCGCCAGTGAGCAAGGCTTCATGCAGCCAGGCTCAGGCCATAAATGACAGAGAGAATAAGGAGGCAGCTGGACAGGAATTCTGACCTGTATCATATTTAATCAAGTTTTAGCAGTAAAATGTTTTTTTTTTTTGCTGATTTAGCTTAAAAAATAAAAAAAATAATAATTTAGAAATTCAGACACTTTATTCCTACAGGAAAACAACTGCATAAGTAGAATGTTTTGTGATGTAGAATTATGTAGTAAATTCCTTAGATTGATAGAAAAACCATTTCATGAACATAATTAGGTGCACGCATAATTTTACTCTCTTAATAATGCTTTAATATGTGCTTTAATATCCTTTTGACATTTTGTCAGTGGCTTTAGAAGCCATCTCTCTCTGCATTCCCATATCTGGTCCTCCACCGTCCCATTCCTTATTTACTGAGGCCTCAAAGTAACAAGAGTACAAACTCTAAAATCTATCAGTCACTCAGAGGTTCCAGTAAATTAAGCATTCAGATCCTGAAACCAAACCAACAGCTTGTAATCTAGGTGTAAAAATGGAACTTGTTTAACTAACATAGGCACTAAACAGCTATCCAATAGCGCCATCTGGAGGAAAGAAGGTCTTAAAACATGATGCCGTTGTAGTTTATTTTACCATAAAAGAAACAGGCATCAATAATTAAAGAACAGCCTTTAATATTCAGCAAGTTTTAGAAGGAGAGTCTAAAATGTGTTGGACTGCACAATGTAAGATGTAAAATAAAAAGATAAATACAAACAACAGTTTTTTTTGGCTCAACAACACTGTCAAATGTTCAAAATTGTTTTGGTTTCAGGAGCAGAGCACATAGACAGTACACCAACAACTTTCCCCAGTGTATACGGACGTAGAGAAAGGCAGATTTAAAAATGTCATTAGCAACAGTTAAGGGGGTCACACTCGTTTAAGTTTACCATCTATTACTGTTGATAAAGGTAAATAACAAAACTTACAAAGTAATATACAGGAACTAAACACTTGGAAAGAAAAATGTGGTTATAGCGATCATTTCATAAATACTATCTTCACAAAAACTCTGCTGCAAATTAGGGAAAAGATGTTTATTTTTATTTATATATACATATATATGTATATATATATTTATTATCTATATCTCCACAGGCGGAGGCCATTTTTCCCCTCCTCATCTTTTCTGACTCTTTTTCACCAGTTTTGCATTTGGCTAGGGTCACTGTCAATACTGTTAGCATGAGGCGCTACCTAGACCCTACAGAGGTTGCACTCTGTAGGGTCCAACTCCTCCAGAATGGCACATCAATGCGTGCCATTGCCAGAAGGTTTGCTGTCTCCCCCAGCACAATCTCAAGAGCATGGAGGATATTCTATGTGACAGGCAGTTACTCCAGGAGAGCTGGACAGGGCCGTAGAAGGTCTACAACCCATCAGCAGGACCGGTATCCGCTCCTTTGTGCAAGGAGGAGCAGGAGGTGCACAACCAGAGCCCTACAAAATGACCTCCAGAAGGCCACTGGTGTGAATGTCTCTGACCAAACAATCAGAAACAGACTTCACGAGAGTGGCCTGAGGGCCCGACGTCCTCTAGTGGGCCCTGTGCTCACTGCCCAGCACCATGGAGCTCATTTGGCATTTGCCACAGAACACCAGAATTGGCAAGTCTGCCACTGGCACCCTGTGCTTTTCAAAGATGAGAGCAAGTTCACCCCGAGCACATGTGACAGACGTGAAAGGGTCTGGAGAAGCCATGGAGATTGTTATGCTGCCTGTCACATTGTTCAGCATGACTGGTTTGGTGGTGGGTCAGTGATGGTCTGGGGAGGCATATCCATGGAGGGACGCACAGGCCTATACAGGCTAGACAACAGCACCCTGACTGCCATTAGGTAATGGGATGAAATCCTTGCACCCATTGTCAGACCCTATGCTGGTGCAGTGGGTCCTGGGTTCCTCCTGGTGCACGACAATGCCCGGCCTCATGTGGTGAGAGTATGCAGGCAGTTCCTGTAGGATGAAGGAATTGATAACACTGATTGGCCCCCACGCTCGCCTGACCTAAATCCAATAGAACACTACTGGGACATTATGTTTCAATCCATCTGAAGACGCCAGGTTGCACCTCAGACTGTCCAGGAGCTCAGTGATGCCCTGGTCCAAATCTGGGAGAATATACCCTAGGACGCCATCAGTCGTCTCATTAGGAGCATGCCCCGACGTTGTCAGGCATGCATACACGCACATGGGAGCCATACAAATTACTGAATACCATTTTGAGTTGCTGCAATTTCAAATGGACTAGCCTGCCGCATCATTTTTTCACTGTAATTTTTCAGGTGTCTTTGAATTCAGCCCTCTGTAGGTTGATCATTTTCATTTCCATCAAATGATGTGG